TGCGCCAAAGTCCGACAGCACTGGTAGCACACTGCCCATGCTTGTTCCTCGTTTATCGGCTGGCTGTACAGAGTCAGGATTTCATCCAGGGACAAGTCCTCGGATCCGTCTCCGCAGTCCATGCTCACGTCTCCGCGGTTCAAATTCCGAAGAACGGTCGGCGAAGAAGAAGACAGCGTCCCCTCCTTACTCCCGGGTCGCTTAGCCATTTTCACACCATCCTTAACTTCCTAATACCTAAGAAAGAATTACCGAAGAGTGAATGTCGGTAAATGGTTCTGTGTTACATAGTCAGTTTCTCTGAATCAGCTGGTGTCCGTCCAGTGACTCTGTGATGTGCGCTGACTGGAGTGACGGAGGAGCGCCAACCGTTCTGTGAACAGCAGCAGCCCTGCTGTCGGCCAGCGCCGCATGGTCCCAGTGCACTCCATGTTCCAGTTAACAGTAATACCACAACGTAATAAATAAATATTTACATCCATTCATATATATGTAGTATGTGTGTATGTAAAAAAAAAAAAAAAACATCAGTGTCGACGAAACGTATTAGACGTTTGATTTATTAAATGTTTAAATCATATCGATGTGATTATTTACTGAATTACTCATCATTGCCTGGGATAAACTAAGTCAAAATGATAATTAATTTGTCTAATAATTAAATGTGAAATAATGATTTAATAATAATATATATTTCAGCTTTCACTTAATAATTTAAAAGTTCCTTAAATTTAAATATTGAAGTAATAAATTTTTTTGTAAACAATGGGACTTTTTTCATGCATATTACAGGTTTATGTTAAACAAATTATTTATGAAGTTATTTCTATTTGTTGTTGTTTCAAAGCTTTTGATATATGAAGAACCTACTTATTTATTTATTTATTTATTTATTTATCATCTCCAAAAATGATACAGATAATCACAAATATATTTATTTATCTCAGTTTAATTTGAAGGGAGATGGAGGAAGGTTATTGTAATGATTGTAAATCTGTGGGACTTATGAGGAGAAAAAAATAGTCGCTGTCAGAAGTGTTGCCCTGTGATACTGAAACAAAATATTTATTTATTTTCTCTCTCTCTGATGCTCCATTCAGGTGGTGGCATCAAGACGTAAAATTGTTCTTATGGGGGTTTTTTTTCTGACATATATATTTTAGTTTTGTGACCAATGAACTTCAGATATGATACAGTTTTTGGAATGCTCTGTTTTCTTATTAGACTGTTTCAAAACTTTGTCATATTCACTAATATGACAAAGTTTGTTTTGAAACATAAGTACAGTGTGACCGAGTTAATAATTAAAACTCTTGGGAAGAATGAGGCATACCTTGTTAAGTCTGTCTGAAGTCATGACCAACAGATTGTCTTTTATTTACATTCAAGCCCAGCTGAGCGTCACAGCTTCCACTTGATTCTTGTAAGCCTTCTGCAGCATCTGGTGTTCAGCATCGCCATCTGCTGGTCAGTAGTTTGGTTACCGCACTACCTCATCACCTCCTGAGTTTATTTCATGAGTTCTTGTTATCTAAAATACTTTGAAGTCCAATGGCTTACCAGTATAATACAGATGTACACATGCAGATCAGTGTGAGCCCCAACAATGTTATACATTGCATTGTTGTAAATAATACCATATACCATTAAACACAAAATAGAGACTAAAAGAGAACCAGTACAGCACATTATGCAGAACAAATACCAAAAAAAAAAAAAAAAAAAAAACAAAAGTTTTTTTCAAATTAAGAGGAATTGTGGGCCAA